AATTCTTCAATCAAATGACTTTCTCATCTGATTATGAAGGGCAAAACCCAACTCTCGATCTTGAAATGAGTCATCCTACTACAGGACCTATAACTACTCCTCTTACTCCTACCGATGTTGATCCTGACTCCGGTGGCGATGATTCTACATCAAGAGCTCCTAAAAGGCCTAGATCCGATGTGTGAATTTTTTAAAGAAGATAGACATCACCAGGAATGAACACGGTAGGCTTCTCACCCAGAAGGCTAAGTGTGCATTGTGCGGCCATATTTTCCAAGCTCATCATAAGAGCGTTACCAACCACCTCAAATGCCATTTTGATAAACACAATAAAGGTCAAACACATGTTTGCGTCAGAAATCAATTTCATTATGGAATCTATTTACAAATAGTTTATCGATTACAACAGATTCAAATAAGTGAGCCTTTTTATAAGACTTCTTACTACACAAGAAATAAACAGGTGATATCCTAGAAACACACGCATGATCATTTATCAATCACTGCTTGCGTAGAATCTTTGCATGTGCTGGGGACTCTTTGATCTGTTGACCGTTGAGTATCAGATCTGATTTATCTTGTTTCGTAGAGGAAACAAGAATTGAAGTAAATCCTCAATGATGTGAGATAAATACTCTTCTTAAGATCACAATGATAGTATGATCTTAAGGAAACTAATGCAGGGGCTCTCCTTTTTATGCTGAATAACTAGCCAAGATCTCGCCTTTAGATCTGAAATTCGTGGCCCTCCTCTCACAGGGTCAGTAACTCGCCTCCAAACTCCCAAATTCAAGATCCCTCGTGTATAGGGGCCCTAGGGATGTATTTATAAGCTTCGAGTGTCCTATTTTTGAATAAAAATTCATGATTTAGCCTTATCTTTAGTTAAGTACAGCTCTCTCACGTTTTGGATAGCCTCAAGATAGTTAGGGAGGCTCCGGAACTGTCAAAACTGATCTAAAATCATCAAAAACACGTCTCGGGGCTTCATTCTGTGCGATACAGCTCAGTTAGTTTCGTACATGTGCGAAATATTTCGGGATGTCTCGTACATGTGTGAGACAGTTTGGGGTGTCTCGCACATGTGCGAGACAGTTTGTACTATATTCGGTATTTTAGTTCTAATTCTTTCATCCGATCTCGGAATGAGGTGATTCAAGTTGCATAGGAAAGATGACGAAAAGACTTACAACTTTTATCGTTGAGATTTTTTGGATTCAAATTGCATTATGGTCGAAATTTTAGTTCTTCATACTCATGCATCTTTTTTTTTTGAATCATGTAACCTAAATCTTGTTAGCGCTTCATCGCTTCGCCCATTCCTTTACTTCCCCCTTGGCATCGGATAATCCTCTTTGACTCAGACATTAATGTTCATCACATTCTCTTCGTCTTGAGCTGCGTGCACGCCATTTTTGACGCCTACAGATACCCCCTCCAAAGTGTTCCATCCTCATTCTTTTATAGAAGAGACTGTAATACTTTAGATATGGTAGGCCTAGCCTTTAATTCATTAACTTCTTCAGTTTTTAGTCTATTCAGTATTTTATCGAATAGTCTGAAATTCTTCCGGTGCTGCATTTATCATCTGACCGTTGTCAAAATCTTAAACTAAAACTAATGTGTTGATATTTAAATTAGCTCGTGTCGTTGAATCGATGTTGAACTGGTTCATCTTCATCAGGAGTTTGTATCTAAATCATGATTGAACTCCTCGGAATTAGCCTTTGACCTAGAATTTTTCCCGAGCCTTATTTTGGCAAAATTACCGATACGTTGGCTGACATCGACTTTCGTTGTAGTGTGAATATAATTGAGCCTTATTTTGGCAAAAATATCGATGTGTGGACCAGCGTTAACCTTTATTACAACACATTGACCTTCATTGCAACGTGTTGACCGGCGTGAACATAGTTTATACTCATACATTAACTGGAGTCTACACAGTTTAAGCTCTTAAGGACATTGGAGCGTGAATGAGTAGTTTATACTCGTATACTTCTCGGAGTTTGGGTAAAATAAGATGAGCATGCATCAGACACTCGCCAAGTTGAGCTCTTTGTGTAAGATTTGATTGTAGGACCATCCGTTAGTGCTGATACAACTATTATCTCTGAAGCTATCCCAAGTGCTCGAGTCACTAGACCAATTAATAAAGCTGGTGTGTCAGTGACTATTAAAGCAATGTTATGGAGGAGGAGGTTACCAAGGCCTTGACTACCACCACAGACTCTATACAAGTAGAGAGCGAATTTGTCGTCGTGAGCTGCTTATAGTAGGAATTTTGGCAAACCCTCAGCCATCAACGGATTTGATGAGCCTTTATCGACTACCGTTTGAGTCGGACTAGCATGTAGATTATCTAAATCTGTTGTACATATAACATTATGCTAAATGAACTCTCTTAGATTTAATGCTACGATATTGAATACGTAGGCTACATGTGTTAGATATAGACTTATTTCTAACAAGGGATCGAGATAAAACCCTCCATGCATAAAATGTATGGATTCAGAATTTAATAATAATCACTGGCTACATCATCGAATACGTATGCTTTGTCGTTTTTATGGGAACGAACCACCCGACAACATGTGTTAGATGTAGATTTATCTCTAATAAGGGATTAAGATAAAGTCCCTCATGTGTGAAAGACATGGATTTAGAGGTCATTAATTTAATAACGATCACCGGCTATGATATTGAATACGTAAACTTTGTCGTTTTTTACGAGAATGGACCACCCGACAATGTGTGTGAGACGTAGACTTATCTCTAATAAGGGATCAAGATAAAGTCCCCCATGCATGAAAACGTATAGATTTTGGTGTTGAGAAAATTGTGTCTTCTTTTAGGGAAAAGATGAACCATGTTTTGTCTTCTCTTGGGGCTAAGACGTAGACTTAATAAAAAATTTTAATTTGTAGGGGTGTTTTTATAATTTTAAAAACTTAGAGAATATTTTCTATAAAGTCTAAAAAATTTTATGTGTTGGCTAGCATATGTTTTTTAGAATTATATACAAACTGAAATAAGTAAATGATTTGAATTATATGAAACATACCTCTTTTATCCAATAAGATATTAAGTCTCGTTATGAATAAAATAAATCATTTAGTTATCATTTTTAAAGAAGATATGATAATTAGAATAGATTAGGATAACAGTATAATATTCAAAAAAACCTAAAGATAATATTGATCATAAAAAGATTTTTCGAAACTCGTACTTTTAAAGAAAGTAAGTATGGTGATATGATTACTGAAACAACATACACTATCCTCGTAAACATAGGGCCTTTTCTGAATAAGTGTAACAACATATATATACTATACTTGTGAACATAGGATTTGCTCTGAATTAAGTTAAATCAATGTGTAATCTTGATATCGGGTCCGCGTTGTCTCTAACAATTTTTGAGGAAAAAAATGGGTTTTGTTCTAATATTAATCACTTAAATTTTTTATATTTTGAAATTAGTCCCTCAAATTACCAAAAATTATGAACGATAACTTCTTCGTTGCTCATCCTGAATTTGTAATTGATGGAGAGGATCCCCGTCCGGCTAAGCCTAGACTTTTGTTATTTTGAGCGATTTCGGGGAAGGAGAGACTATCTCAGTTATGACTAAATGAATTGTTTGGATGGGGAAATAATTTGTTTGGATAGGGGGGAGAGTTTATTGTGATTATTTTCATATTTTTAATCTTAAACACACTAAAACATTCCACTAATGTTCGGCGTCAAAATGAAATGAGTTCCTAAACCTTTACGCCTCGTTTGGTACACGGGAATGGACTCAAATAAGAATAGAATATAAGAAGGAATGGAATAGAATTAATGTGAGAATGGACTCAAATAAGAATAGAATATAAGAAGGAATGGAATAGAATTAATGTGAGAATGGAATAATCATTCTCATTATCACGTTTGAGTGTAATTTATAAAATAAAATGAGAATGGACGTATTTTAAAATTATATATTTTATTGATTCTCATTTAAGTGGGAATGCATATTCTCTATCATTTTATTGGGAATGTTCATTCCTACATAAAGTGATAATTGATGAGAAGTGATAATTGACATTCCAACTTCAAAAAACAGTGTGTATTTGGTAAGAAGGAATGAGAAGTGAGAATGACCATTCTATTCCACCACATTCCCGTATACCAAACTAGACCTTAGATATCAAAGTGATGAAAAAGTAGTTTAAAAGACATCTTAACGACAAAGATAGGTTAAACTTCATGGTATCAAAGTGAAAATAAGCCGTTATTCTTGTTCATGTTAAGATTTCATCCTAATGCTCAAATTTAAAATGTCCTTAACAAAATAGAATATAATGCTTTTTTGTTTGTGTGTGCAAGAGGCCAAAAACCAGCGAGAAACTTCTTAGTTGGTCTCGGCACCAAATTTGAACACTGAAATGAAATCTAAGAATAGCCCAGGATACGTAAAATGATTGAAACTTAAAAAAAAAAACTACTAATTAATCAATTCTTTAGCAAGAGCTATATAATAAAAAGAACTAGCTAGATGAAAGTAAATTTTACTCATCATTCCTCTGCATCTTGCACAGAAATTAAGAACCACAAACTAAAATTCTCCTTTCGCCTTCGGGTTCACCCTCGATTCTCGATTCCTCTCTCCCAAAAAACCAGCGAGAAACTTCTTTGTTGATCTCGGCACCAAATTTGAACACTGAAATGAAATCTAAGAATAGCCCAGGATACGTGAAATGATTGAAACTTAAAAAAAAAAAAACTACTAATTAATCAATTCTTTAGCAAGAGCTATATAATAAAAAGAACTAGCTAGATGAAAGTAAATTTTACTCATCATTCCTCTGCATCTTGCACAGAAATTAAGAACCACAAACTAAAATTCTCCTTAATTCGCCTTCGGGTTCACCCTGGATTCTCGATTCCTCTCTCCACACACACACACACAAAAAAAAAAACCCCCCAAAATTTTACAGTTTTATTGGGCGCAAGTACTTTCATCTGGCAACAACAACCTCAGCAGTCCTCACATGAATCTCATAAGACTCTGAAGTATTTTTGTTACCACCACTGATATTGGCCTTCAATCTCAATTTCTTGGACAACTTCTTCTTCCTTTCTTCCGCTTCGTCGATTTCGATCTGCTCTTGCCTGCAGTCCTCACTGCAAAAAGGGATGTCTCCTTTGTACATGTAGATATCATCGCCGAGATGAATCGGGGTTTTGCAGAGGAAACAGGAGTCAAGAACATAGCGTCGAGGCTTCTCATCTGACGAACTTTGGTCACAGAAGAAGATAGAAGATTTGGTATTTCTAATCGCTCTTGAACCATGATAATGGTTTGGATGAGAGGTCGAAGGAGAAAAAGAAGAACTGTCCATCTTGCTCTAGTTTGGGTTGTGTGATTCGATTCTCTTTGAGGTTGTGTAGGGCTTGATACTGACTACTGAGGAACCCGAGTTTATAAAGAGGAGGAGAAGAAAGGGGAGCTCTACATTTGCTGGTCACTTGTGAGAGTAGAAAAGGGTAGGTATCACGCTCACCGCTGCTGGTTTCTCGGAGGCATACGTGAAACCATGGGCTAACTCCAAAATTAAATTTTAATTAGGGAGCTCCGTTAATTTGTCCTAGACTTTTTTTTTTTCTGTATTCTAATTTCAAGAGTTCGTACATGACGTCACCTGACCTTTTCATTATTATTTTAAAAATCAATACTGTCTTAAAAAAAAATATTATTACGATAGTAGCTTTTGTCACAGTGAGAATGATATATAGAGATACTCTAGACCATTGGTAGTGGAGAATCTTCACAACTTAGCAATAACATCTTTTCATTCATCTAGCAGACTCTATGAAGGATATTGTTTACATGATTTTTTTTTAAAAAGAAACTTTTAATTATAGCGTGCAGTGAATGAATTAATCAATATTATTCACTCATATAACTAACTACAGCAATTTTCTATAACTAACTTTGTAGAGAATTTGGGCTTGTAGTCTTATCTTATCTCTTAGAATAGGAGTCAAGATTGGAATAATTAGCTAGACTCTCTCTCCCTCGATCTCTACTTACAACCAAATTAAGCAAAGACGTTATAATACCAAACACATTTAAAAGTTTGAATTTTTTTCTAGTTTATGATATGAGATTTATGGCATTAATAATGACTTAAAACTATATATTTTTGAATTAATAGGTTAAATATATATACGCTTGTCTAAGAATGGCATTCTTTGTTGCATTAGTCACGCATGGCATAAAGACAACATGTTACTTCCTCATAAAACTGCAGTAACAGAATTAATTGCTTGCAGAAAAGATAATAAATTAGGGCAAAGAGGTTATGCGTCATATTTTGTTATCTACAATTCAGTCTCAGCTAAGTGCTGCTATGATTAGTTTCCCTCTCCCTCTTTATTTACTTGATTTCTTGAATACACCCAAATTCTATTCGAATTTAAGGGGGTGATAATAAATTCAATAAAACTGTAAAGGCTAAAAAGTTCAAAAATTAGCCTGTGAGTGTCACAGGGGAAATTCAAGAGATTTTTTTTATATTTGCTTGTTAAACGATTTTAAGTGAAATTCGAAAACTTTAGGATAAATAATTACTCTTAGAAACAATTGAGGAAATACGAGTGCAAAATAGGAAAAAAGTATAATATGTTTAATTTCTAATTGTCCTATAATTTTAGGTGCAGACTAAACTTCATTCTCCACTGGCGAATGCGAAATATTTGAAATATCAATCTTCGTGTCTCGAAACTTGATATATAAAATACAAAAATGACAAAAACTAACAAGCTCTCCAAGGGAACTTCTCGGAAGTTCCCTTGATATTTCTTCATGTTCCTCTCGCTTTATTTGAAGCAAGAACCCGCAAAAATCTGAAACTTATGGGCTTTTATTTATGTTATAAGTATTTAAAGCTTTGGCAGCACCTTTTTTTTTTATAATTAACAAAAAGCATGCGTGTAGGCGTCAAAAATTGCCTATAGGTTCATGAACACAGCTTGAGACGACGAGCCTTTGAAACAACAAAGCGGCGAACCACTGATGATGTAGCAACAAGCCACCGGAACGGCAAGGCAAGGGAACGCGCGCTCATCAGCCACCTTCAAGTGGTCCGCATGCTCACCGGCCACTTCCAAGTGGCCCGTGCACTCACCAGCCACCTCTAAGTGGCCCGCGTACTCACCGGCCACCTCCAAGTGGTCCGCACGCTCACCGACTACATCCAAGTGGCCCACGCGTTCACCGACCACCTCTAAGTGGTCCACGCGTTCATCAGCCACCTCCAAGTGGCCCGTGCGCTCATCAGCCACCTCTAAGTGGCCCGCACACTCGTCAACCACCTCCAAGTTAACAAAGTGCATGAAGCGAATCGGTGAAGCGTATAAGTCAGCGAAATGACGAAATGTGCGTAACCACAAAACAAGTCAAACCCGGAAGACCAGAATAGCCCCTGGCTGCCGTGTCGCATCAAAACGACTCGGCCAGAGCCGCTCGCACAGTGCCGAGCCACCGTGGGGTGGCTCGCGCCCGGAAATGCCCAAAATACGTTTTTTGATAGTTTTTCTTGGGATTTGTTCATTTTAGAGCCTCTCAATTATTTTGAGGTTATCCCTAAACGTGGTTAAGCGATTATTAATTGAGGATAAGGTCAAATCATCAATTCTTATCCGAAAACGCTGCATCTGAAGCCTATAAATACAAGCCTAGGGTCCTATACGCACCGGAGTTGAAATCTAGGCGAGGTGTTGTCAAATTGAAGAGTAATCCATTAATTTCAGAGGAGGGCTAGCAGATCTTGGCGAACTTCAGCATAAAGAGGGAGCTATTTGAAGGATCTGAGGCCTGTTTCCCCTTTCCTCCGGATCAAACTTGGTTTTGATATCGAGAAGAGTCGTAATCTTGCTTGATCGAGATTATCACTTCTGCGATTGTTTCCTTTGTGAAGCAAGAACATTGAATTTTAATTCTGTCAACCGGATCTGATCCGTGGCGGTCTACGGACTAACGCGTCCCCAGCACATGCAAAGATCCTACATAAACAACGGGTGACAAACGTCATCTGCGTGTGTTTGAAGAGAATTATATTTTCTTATTTTATTTATGTAAATTAATAGTCTTAAAAAGATTAACTCTTTTGAATTTATTGTAATCGATAAACAATTGTAATAGATTCTACAAATAAAATAACTTGGCGCGAACAATGCGGCTTATAACTTTGCCCTTTAAAAGGTAAAACTGAATAGTATTGGAGCTCGCAAGCGGTAGACGCGTGTCTGGGCTCAATAGACCCACGCTTATTCTAACCTAAATAGTTTACTACATTCAAGAATGGGTCAGTCGAAGTTAGCTTCGTTAGTTCGATGAACGGCATCCTTTCGTTTAATTTACTGCAGTTTCGTCGTGCGGCCTTTTCAGCAATCAAGTAGAATAAGTTAAAATAATAAGTGATGTTTTGCAATTAATGAGAAACTAAAGTGAAGAGAATCATTTAGGGGCCTGCATCTACATACAACTTGACAAGTTGCAACTAGGCAGAAACCAAAATTAAGTAGAGACAAACAGTAGAGCAAGGCTCTTTGGTAAGTGTCTAGTTCTTTTAGCCATCTCCTATGGTGGTCACAGCCACAAGAAAACCCTTAATATATTGTCCAATACTTGGACTACATTGGTTTACGGTGCCCTTCCAAATTTCACAATATAACTCATATTTTTGCAAATTTGTGCTATGTTAATTGGGATCCGGATCATGTTGACTATGAAAAAGTAACACAGAAACAACTACTCATATCACAAACGTCGACTATTTAGAATAATTTTGATTTCTATTTGAATGCAGCTAATGGGTGCAACTTATGAGAAGTATGATGAGTGTTATATTTAGAACGAATCACACGACGACCAGTGGACGATCAATGGTTGTAACAGTTTTCCTAATGATTCTCTTCGCAATTTGCTTTATTTTTTTTTCTCTTCATGAGAATATTAACTCACGTGGACTAGATATGGGTGTCTTTGTTTGAACCAACATTGTGAACCAAATTTGACCCATGATCCAATTAATCGAGGTTAGAATAAGCATTGTTCTATGGAGCCCAAACACACACGTCTAGTTCTTTGGAGTATTAAGTAAAGCTTTAATTACTTTCGTTCTACGCACAACACTTGGTGAAGGTTGGGTCTTACACTTTAGATTGGTATATGAAGAGACTGTATGAATAGAAAGATAAAGATGAAAGATTTGATTTGTATTAGATACTTAAGACTGTCAATCAATATTAGTGGCAATAATATATCTTTTAAGTGCAGATAATCAGACAAACATGATATTTTTGATTAGTTTTATTGGAAAAAGCTAGCCTAACTACGCCCATTGTTTCGCCACTGCCGCTGGACACTTGCTCGTTTATTGGTTGGATATTGGGGTACGTCAGGGGTTAGTTTTGGGATTTAGGGGTTAGTCTTGGTTATGATCGGATTTCATTTTGCCCGGGGACTACGTGGCCTATTGAGGCCGCGAGTGTTTGGTGGCAGTCGCCCTCGGGACTGCCGCTAGAAGTCCTCATTTTATTGATGTCATATCAATATAGATTCCTCAAGTTCTTCGCAGACGCGCGTTGCAGACTGTGAAAGGGAGGAACACCTTAATTTGGATGTTTTTCGAATTTAATTTAGTAAAAGTAAAGCAAATATAGAGATCCTTGCGTGTAACTCTATGAAGCAGAAAACAAGAATCAGTCACAGGTGCTTCGCGTCTACGTGAGGACTAGAAAGCATTAATATCGCTTCTACCCGCATTACAAGGGATTCGGATCCTTTCCGTTGCTTGAAGTAGTGGAAATGTGTTGGAAATTGTGGTGGTTAAATCTGTAACGAAACAATGAATTAGATGTGCTGTATTTTTAAACTTTTTCAGTTAACTGCTATGCGTTATAGAAACGCTGTGTTTAAAGCAATATTTAGCCTACTCCGGTGCAAGGATCCCAATGCCAAACTGCTTCTAGGAACAACAGTGCAATACTCTGGTGTGCATCAACCCAGTATTGTCAAGATCTCCTCGATCTATAAGACCTTTTGGTCTAGGCAAAAGATCTCCTCGATCTCAGAACCTTTCGGTTCAAAACCTTTCGGTTCAAAACCTTTCGGTTTAAGACAAGTTCCTGCAGCAGCAGCACAACAGCAACAACGTCGGGATCGACATTCATATTCCAGCACGCGACGTTCGTGTTCCACGCTCGCGAGAGGATTTTTAGCTCGCAACCAAGAGCTGCCAAAAGGGCGCTATTTATAGGCCTCTAAGGCCAGCTATAGAGTCACAAGCAATTAATGTGACTGTTACAATTCTTAATGGCAATTAAGATTGTAACA